AAAATCCACCATATAGATAATAGAATTAATAAACACTAAACATACATAATAATTACTAATTAGTAAACACTAAACATATAAAATTGTCAACCCAATATTCGAAACCAATGAGCTGTAAAACCCATCCAAAATTCCAAATGTCCAACCAATTTTAAGATTTGCAAATTCTCACATGCGGCAATCCCACGCAACACATTATCACTACACCTGTGCAGCTCCAATTCTTGGAAAGTCAAACACTCCTCAGCTACACTCAACAGCCCTAACTCGTTAGCTCCAACCAGCACAAGTCTACTCAAATTCGTGCACCCACTAGCAAGATTTGCTAGCCCTTTATCAATCATTTCAACAGGTAACAACATGTTATGCTCATAAAAACTTGTAACCCAAGAACCAACATGGACAAAGAGCAACTTATGACTCAATAAAATTTCTAGGCGAAACAAGAGACGTATTTATCAAATATATCAACATTGGTCAAATTTGGGAATCTTAAAATCAACCTACCAGCTTCAAGAAATTCCCAATCCAACACCCCGAGTGAGCGTAAAAGCTGACCCTGAAGATTCAATCAGCGTTTGCAAACAAGGGAGTTAGCGTTACGCTGCGAAAGGGGAAGTTTTGAGAGGATTCTGAGGAGAATATCGTCAGATAACTAAGCAATGCCCCAACAAAAATTTCAATTAACAATGTTAATAACAATATCAATTGAAATAAATGAAGCACAAAAAGATAATGCCATTACTAATTGGAACTCCATCAAATGTTACTTCAACTCCGGTGGCTCCAATGTATTCCATCATCACCTTCCCATCTTACCTGGACCTACCGTGCTGCTGCTGCTGCTGCCGTGAGAGAAGAGATTTGCTGCTACCGTGAGAGAAGAGATTTGCTACTACCGTGAGAGAAGACACCTGCTGCTGCCGTGACCTGATTGCTGTGCTGCCGATCTACTGCTGCCGTGAGAGAAGACACCTGTTGTTGTCGTGACCTAACTGCTATGCTGCCGATCTGCTACTGCTGTGAGAGAAGACACCTGCTGCTGCCATGAGAGTGAGAGAGTGAGGGAATGGAGCTGCTGTGAGAGGAGTGGTTGTGGAGCTGTTGTGAGAGGAATGCTGGAATGGTCGTGGAGCTGCTGTAGCCTATGAGAGAATGAGCTGCTACGTTTTTTTTTTTTTTCACTGATAAGTTTTCGTTTAGATTAGGGCTTGAGAGTGAGACTTTTGAGTGATAAGTTTTTTCAATGAATGATTAAAATTTTTTTTTTTAATTTCAAATTTGCGGGTCGACGGGTACTTGCGGGTAGTACCCAGTCCACCCGTAAAAGTCACGGGCGGGCTGGGTACCGGTTAGATTCTCATGGGTTGAGGTATGTGTTACCCGTACCTACCCGTTGAGTGCGGGTACCCGTTGACCCGCGGGTACGGGTAGGTATTTGCCAGGTCTACTAATCACAACCAATTCATGTACAACTCACCCCTCAACTTTTTCCTCAACTGTTTCTCTTTACTACTACAAACTGGGTAGCAAACCAGGGATATTTTTATTTTTTTAATTTTTTTCTGTTTTGAAAAAAAAAATGAGTGCATTTTTTGCTCCATCTCTTTCATGGTTGTGTTTATAAGTGAGTGCGTTTTACGCTCCATCTCGACTCATCATACCTTTTTTTTTTTTTTTTTTTTTTTTTTTTGCCCTATTTGCTTAAACCCAAATTTAGGAACTACTTAAGGGAAACAATTTTTCTTTTTTATTTTCTTTTAAGGGTTGTTATACACTCCTTAATCATGCTTTGTCACCAAGTTCACACAACTTATCAAGACATATTGTTTCAAGACTACAAAGATTCAAATCTGATTAACTCTATTTTATGAAATACTACTAACATCCTAAGTTAAGGAATATGCTTAACAACAAAGTCAAGTTACTATTTCATGCATCACTAGATGCTTAAAGACATGCCTTAAAGCATAGACCTTCCTAAAAACAAAAACTCAATATTTTTATTTTTTTATTTTATTTTTTTTAACAAAACATACACCTAAAGCTTAACTTCTCCCCCACACTTAAAGCTTGCATTGTCCCCAATGTAAAACCCAAATGTAGAGACAGGCAAATAAAACAAATGAAACAAAAACAAAATGGCAAAGAAAAAAAATAAAAAACTAAGTTCAAAGGAAAAGAAAATCAAATCTGAATTCTTGGGTTGCCTCCCAAGCAGCGCCTTTGGTTAAAGTCGTTGGCCCGACTCTCTGTATGGTCATCACTACTCATGTATCGACTCCTCCAATCCCACCTCCTCAATATTGCAAACTTGGAACCCTTCATAGTAGGGCTTAAGCCTATGTCCATTGACCTTAAACACCTTGTTTGTTTTCAAACTTTGTATTTCTACTACACCATGATGAAAAACATTAGTCACAATAAAAGGTCCCACCCAACAAGAATGTAACTTACCTGGAAATAACTTCAGCCTTGAATGGAAGATAGCCTCTCTGTCCAACAGAAAAATTATTCCTTGAGATCATCTTGTCATGAAAGGCCTTAGTCTTTGCTTTGTAGATGTGTGAACTCTCGTAGGCATCATTCCTCAACTCCTCAAGTTCTTGCAATTGCATTTTCCTGTTAATGCCGGCTTCCTTCATTTCTATATTGCAATGCTTCATTGCCCAATAGGCCTTGTGCTCTAATTCCACTGGAAGATGACACGGCTTACCGAACACTCATCTTTATGGGGACATGCCAATAGGTGTCTTATATGCTGTTCTGTATGCCCATAATGCATCATCTAATCTCAAAGAACAATCCTTCCTGTTTGGGTTCACTATCTTTTCCAAAATTGACTTGATCTCTCTATTTGACACCTCACCTTGGCCATTGGTTTGTGGGTGGTACGATGTGGAGACCTTGTGTGTGACATGGTATTTCTTAAGCAATGCCTCCATTGTCCTGTTGCAAAAATAGTGCCCTTATCACTGATTATGGCCTTTGGTGTCCCAAACCTGACAAAAAAGTTAGTTTTAACAAAATCTGCAACAACCTTTGAAGTGTCAATTCTGGTGGCTTTCGCCTCCACCCATTTGGAACATAATCAATAGATAAAATAATATAAACATTACCAAAGGAAACAGGAAATGGACCCATAAAATCAATGCCCCAGACATAAAAAATTTCAACAATTAATATAGGAGATTGTGGCATTTGATCTCTACGAGAAATGTTTCCTATAATTTGGCAATTATTACATGACTTATAGAACATGTAGGCATCCTTGAACAATGATGGCCAATAAAACCCGCATTCCAATACCTTACGAGTTGTCCTCTGTGGTCCAAAATGTCCTCCACATGAGTAGGTATGACAGAAGGTTAAAATAGGAATAAATTCATGTTCAGGTACTCAGTTTCTTATCACTTGGTCAGCACAAAGCTTCCATAGATATGGATTGTGCCACACATAATACTTAGCATCACTCTTGATCTTGTCCTTTTGAGCTCTAGTCAAATCCTTTGGCAACACGTTAGTAACTAAAAAGTTTACAATATCTGCATACCATGGTGACGCCATTTCAATGGAAAACAATTGCTCATCTGGAAATGTTTCTCACAAAGGAAGCTCATCGTTGTCACGAACCAAACGGCTAAGGTAATCTGCTATACTATTCTCTGCTCCCTTTTTATCTTTAATCTCCAAATCAAATTCCTGGAGTAGAAGAATCCATCTAATTAGCCTTGGTTTTTCCTTATTCTTTGTGAACAAGTACCTAAGAGCTGCATGATCAGAAAAAACAACTTTAGCACCCAACAAATATGACCAAAATTTTTCTAAAGCAAAAACAACAGATAAAAGTTCTTTTTCAATCATAGGATAATTGAGTTGGGTGCCATTGAAGGTCATGGATGCATAATAAATGGCGTGACACGCTCTGCCAACTCTTTGACCCATGATAGCACCTAATGCGTAGTTGCTCACATCACACATAATTTCGAAAGGTAGCTCCCGATTAGGTGGTTGTATCACTGGTGCTGTCGTCAACAATGTTTTCAACTTGTCAAATGCCTCCTTGCACTACTCATCAAACTGAAAAAGCACATTTTTTTGTAACAATCTGCATAGGGGCAATGCGATTTTGGAGAAGTCCTTGATAAATCTCCGATAGAAACCTGCATGGCCAAGAAAAGATCGAACTTCCCGCACATTGGCGGGGTAAGGTAAAGCTGTAACCAAATCTATCTTAGACTTGTCAACCTCTATTCCCTTGGATGAAACAATATGCCCCAAAACTATACCTTGCTCTACCATAAAATGACATTTTTCCCAGTTAAGTACAAGGTTAGTTTCCATGCATCTGTCTAGAATTAGTGTAAGGTTATGCAAGCACTGATCAAATGAATCACCATAAACACTAAAATCATCCATAAAAACCTCTATAATTGACTCGACATATTCAGAAAAGATACTTACCATACATCGCTAAAATGTGGCTGAAGCATTGTAGAGACCAAATGGCATTCGGCGATAGGTGAAAGTACCAAATCGGCATGTGAATGTCGTCTTCTCTTGATCCTCCGATGCTATGAAAATTTGGTTAGACCCTGAAAATCCATCAAGAAAACAGTAATAAATATGACCAGCTAACCTCTTAAGCATTTGATCAATAAAGGGAAGTGGAAAATGATCTTTTCGAGTTGTTGAGTTCAACTTCCTGTAATCAATGCACACACGCCAGCCTGTCTGAACATGTGTAGGGACCAACTCATTGTCTTGATTTTTCACAACTGTAACACCAGATTTCTTGGGGACCACTTGCACTGGACTTACCCACTTACTTTCTAAAATCAGATAAATTACCCTAGCATCTAAAAGCTTTAGGACTTCTTTTTTCACCACATCCATCATTGGAGTATTTAATCTGTGTTGCACTTCCCGTGTCAGTTTGGTACCTTCTTCAAGCAAAATCTGATGCATGCATATGGAAGGACTAATCTCTTTAATGTCAGCTATGGTCTAGCCAATCGCTTCCTTATGCTCCTGCAACATTTGAACCAGTTTCTCTTCTTGATTGGTGTTAACTTCTTCAACACAATTATCGGCAGTGTCTCATTCTCTCCCAAGTACACATACTTCAAATGGCCCGCTAATGGCTTCAACTCCAGTGTAGGAGCCTGCAAAATAGAAGGCAATAATTTCTGGTAAGAATTAGGCAGCTTTATAAAAGAAACTCCATACCTTTCTGGAATCGGTTTTAAAGAACGTAACGCCGCCAATGTCTCCTTCAATTCTTCACTGAGCTCTATCTCTCCTTACTCCTCTGATTCCATATGTTTGGTAAGGACAACCTCTAACTCATCTGCATTATTTAGCTCAAACATCTCCTGTGCTATGGAATCAACAAAATCAATAACATTAATAGCAAAAATAGACTGAACATCAGTTGGGTATTTCATGGCATCAAAAATATTAAAACGAATTACTTCACTATCAAATTCCATTGTGAGGGTACCATCATGAACATCTATTTTTGTCCGCGCTATATTTAGGAATGGTCTTCCCAGTAAGATAGGTACAGGGTCAGGAGAAGAAGAATCATCCATATCCAGAATGTAGAAATCAGTGGGAAATACTAACTCATTGACCTGCACAAGAACATCTTCAACTACCCTTTCAGGGTATGCATTAGTGCGATTAGCCAATTGGATAATAACACTAGTATCTTTCATAGGACCTAGATTTAATGAAGCATAAATAGATCATGGCATAACATTAATCAAAGCTCCTAAATCTAACATAGCTCTCTCAATTCTGGTGTTACCTATTTTACAAGGAATTGTAAACATACCTGGATCCTTGCATTTGGGAGGAAGTTTTCTTTGGAAAACTGCTGACACATTTTCTCCCATTATTATCTTCTCATCACCGTTCAACTTCTGCTTATTGGTGCATAGCTCTTTAAGAAATTTTGCATACCTTGGCATTAGCTTAATTGCATCCAACAGAGGTATATTCACTTCTACCTTGCGAAACATCTCCAAAATTTCTTTATCCTTCTCCTCTTTCTTTGACTTCGCGAATCTTCTAGGAAAAGTTAAAGTATTAGACTAAAGTTGAATTGAAGGGTTAGGAATTACCTTTGATTCAGTTGTAGCCTCTTCTGTCTCAATTTCATCATCAATTTCTGCTTCCTTTGCTACACGTGAAATGTTCAGGTTTGGTTCTTCCATTTTCTTGCCACTTCTTAGCGTCACTACATTCACGTTTTCCTTTAGATTCACCACGGTTTGAGAAGGCAATTTCCCTCCAACTTGAGCCTCTAAACGACTTATAGCAGTTGCCATTTGACCCATCTAATTCTCTAAACTTTGAATACTAGATCTTGTATCTTGTTGAAACTGTTTGGTATTCAAAGCAAGGGACTTTACTATATCTTCCAGGGATGAGTTTGAACTTTGTGAGGCAGGTTGCTTCGGTTGAAAACCTTGTTGTTGTTGTCTATTCTGGGAGAAATTTTGTCCAGCTCCTACTTGTCTATTTCCTCCATAACTGAAATTCGGAAGATCTCTCCAACCTGGATTGTACATGTTGGAGTAAGGATCATACTACCTCGGTGGTCCAGGAAAGTTTCTCGCTGCATTAACCTGCTCAACTCCTTCCTCTTGAAGTGTTGGGCACATGTCTATTTGGTGTCCCATTGTCGAACATATCCCACAAGCTTTTGCCTGTTACGCATTCCCTACAGCCAATTGTTTAACAAGGGAAGTAAAATCAGATAGTTGTTGTTCAATGGAAGATGTACTTACATCATTCACCCTTTTGAACGGTGCATCATGTCTTGTACCAAACTGCTGGGAATTGGCAGCCATGTTTGAGATTAATTATTTGGCAGCTTCAGGAGTCTTATCCACCAACGCACCTCTACTTGCTGCATCTATCATGTTTCTTTCCATAGGCAGCAATCCTTCATAAAGATACTAGATTAACAATTGATCACTTATTTGGTGGTGAGGACAACTTGCAATAGCTTCTTCAATCGCTCCCAATATTCATACAATGTCTCTCCATTATATTGCCTTATATCACATATCTTTTTCTTGATGGTGACAGCTTTGGATGCTAGGAAATATCTTTCTAAAAAATCCTTTTCATCTCGTTCCATGTTCTGACTGTCTCGATGGTAGATAATATAGCCAATCCTTTGCATCATCCCCCAATGAAAAAGGGAAAGCTTGCAACTTAATCTGCTCCTTGGTCACTCCTGTCGGTTTCATGCTTGAACAGACTACGTGGAACTCTTTTAGATGTTTATTTGGATCTTCACCTGCACGACCACGAATGTAGGCACCAAGTGAATTAGACCAGACTTAAGTTCAAAAGCAATATCTAAAGTAGGGTACTGAATACACAAAGGTTGCTGATTAAAATCAGGGGTGGCCAACTCCTTTAATGTTCTATCAACGGCCATCTCTTCTTCTATTTCTGAATCTGGATCACTGGATGAACTATGGGATGCTGAAGAACTTGCTTAACGTGCATGTGCCTCTTTTTGCAACTTCTGTAAACTGCATTCGATTTCTGGATCAAATTCCAACTCTCCTGTAGAATTAAACAAACTAAAATTACCAAATTAAGCCTAAATAAATAAAAACTAATAAAAAAATTATAAATTTTTTTTGACAAAAACTAAAATTGGCCAAAAACACTATTAAACAGTCGAATTTGACAACGAGAGGGTGGGGGTAGACTATTTCTAGTCTTGCTCAGAATTTCGTTTTCTTTGAAACGGGTACTCATAGCACTCCTAATTCAACCAAAATTTCTCTTATGAATAGTACTACTGTTCATTTGAAATAGTACTACTGTTCACTTTTTTTTTTTCAAAAAAACAAAAACCTAAAAATCACAATTGAACAAAATGAAAAACACAACTAAACACTGATTAAATGAAATAACACAAGAACATAGAACTTTTGTGTCATTGCCATATACCAAATCACGCCATTATATAACTTCTCCTATACTCCGGAGTAATGAATCCTCTATCGATCCACCATAGTCTTGATACACTCCTCGATGTAGCCGATCACTACCATATTGATAGCCCTAAATTAGGCTAGTGTCAAACTACACCAATCGGTGCACAAGGTGTTCTGGTGATCCTAAGTCTAAGGATCACAGGCACTTTCATGTGTTAGAGGATTTATTCTATAGACACTAGGGTTACCGTCTATATGGAATCCTCTGGTGGGTCAGTCTAGTGAACTTGCTTATAACAAGCACCAATGTGTTGCACTAAGTTGTCGACAAACAACCTTGACAAGTGAGATCAGTCATTGCCTTTCGACAGGGTTGTTCAACACTATGATAGCCTTACTGTATTACTTGTATCCTTGATCAAAATAATACTGGGACTATAGACATTTCTAGAATGGCCACCATATGTGATCATAGGGTTCTCACTTTCAAGATTTGAAATACTTGAAACCCTCGTCACGGTTCTACCATACTAAAGACATATATCAACACGTTCCATTATGATTTACATGATATAGAATAAAATGTCTTTTTATTGATTCATGAACATTATTATAAAGAATCAGATCTACAATATTTGATTGGCTCTAGGGTAGCTACTCAACCAATTTTCTCCTAAGTGTCTCTTCTAAAGATGTGATATTTCATTGGTTCACTGTGTGCACCTTTCTCTGTAATGTTACCATATGTGTGATTTTATTTTTAAATGTCTGTTGTGCACACATTTTATTTTGATGTGACCGCCTTGTGTTCAATAAAAAATTTCTGTGTTTTCTAGAGCTTCATATTTTTCTCTTTTTAAGTCGCCTCCTTTTTCATTTGTGTGATCAAACCTAAGTCTGCATTTTTCAAAGTATTTTCTCTTTCAAAATTCTCTGCAAATCTGATCCTTTTGTTTGATTTGATTGAGCATCAACAAGTGTTCGTTGACAACACTGGGAAGGCTATTGAATCAAAGAAAAGAATGAGACCAGGGTAGTCCTTTCAAGCCCAAGAATGTGCGCACTCTTCTACATCAAGTGAATGCACCCCTTTCGCTTCAGAATTAGTGTCTAACTCACAAAACTCAAGATCCACACCATCTGCTGATCAACCTCTCATCAAGAAATTGAAGCACACCAAAGGTTCATCAGGAAAATCCAAAGGGAAGAAGAAGAAATAGGCTGATATCGCCAAAGGAAAAAGGAAGGTGAAAGCTCCAACTCAATTTGAGGTTCTTGGTAAGTGTCAAATCTTTTACTCTCCTTTTCTTGAGTCTAGGTTTAAATATATTGTTGTTTTTAAACCTATTGTGTGTGAGTCTCATGTAGAACTCTCTGAGTTCCTTGAAATTTCCAAAACTATGGCTGAAAGAAAATGGACATAGTCAGTTGTTAAACCAGTTTCATTATGTCAGGGGTTTGTGCAAGAGTTCTATGCACATTTTGGGAGAGGCTTGGACCAAGTGTTTTTCTACAAGACTCAAGTTTGGCTGAGGGGTATTTGGATGGAGTTTACCCCTAATGTCATTAGGACAATTTTGAAACTCCCTATGGTAAAGAGTGAGGACAATCTGTCTGTCCCTAAAGAGAAGCATAAATTCATGGCTAATGATCTTAGTGGTGGTGGTGTGACTGAATGGCCTGACAGTGGTTTCCTCCCTGTTAATGTGCACACTCCCCATTTCAAAGCTCTTTTCAAAATTTCTATCTCTACACATAATTCTTCAATTAGGCTTGATAAAGTCAAACACCTATATGGAACTGTGCAAGAAAAGTCAATCGACCTTGCCTCTATTACGTACAAGTCCATCAAACTGCTATTGAGTCAGAAGGAAAATCCTTTGTTTTACCTTTCCGTTCTTTGATCTCAAGGTTAATTGAATTTTATGGGGCTCTAAAATAGTCCAATGATCATTTCCTTAAGGTGAGAACCATATCCACCAAGACTCAAGTTTTTTATTTCTTCTTTTGTACCTGTTGTGGTTGTTCCATTATCCTCTCAAGCAACTGTCACAAAATCTAGTTCTTGGTAGTCCAAGATTTATGAATTGTTGCAGGATCTTGAAAGTGGATGTGTATCACACCACCTTACTTGCTAGTGTTGATTCCTTCGAAGCTGCACTAAAGGAAACTAGGGTTAAGTTTCTAGGCAAAGGTCTTTCGATTGGCTCCAAAGATGTTCCTAATGCCTCTGTTCCTGTTGAAAATGTTTTTGTTCAGTCTGAACCTTAGACTGATTTGAATGCCAATCCAACAGCTACCAATGTTGCTTTTGAAAATATTGATCCTGCATTAATGAAGAAGATGCTATGGCTGAACCTAATGTTGGAGTTGCTACAGATGCAAGTGCAAAAAGGACTGACACTTCCTTTATTGATCCAAAAATTGATCCTCCAAACCATGAAAAAGAATCTGTAGAAGTGGTTCCTTCAACTAAGATTTAGACTGAAGAAGATGCTCCCATAATGGACACCTCTATTCCTGTTGTCACTATTGCTCCTCTTATGTCCACCTTTGCAGTTGATTCTCCTAGAGCTCTTACCATTGTCAAAAATCATGGAAAATCTATTGCAAAGAAGCTCCTCACCAAAAGATCTACTAGGTGCATAGATTGATCACTTTTGATCAAAGAAGGGGAGTGTTGTTATGTTTAGCTCCTGCTGCTTCTTTCCTAAAGAAGGTCGGATTTTTTTTTTTTTTTTGCATTGTGATCATAGTTGCTTCTATGTGATCATGCTTCAAGATTTTTTAGTTGTTATTTATTTTCCTTGCAGAACTTTATCTTATAGAACTTTTATTGATGTTTTGAACTATTGAACTTTTTGTTGTTTGGTTGGTTGTGTCTTTGTGCAAAATATTCCTGCTTTTCGCTTTATTGCTAATTTTTCCTATGTTGAGTCTTGTGTTGTGCATATTGTTTTCTTGTTTGACATGTTGTTGAATCTGCCTCATGTAGAAAACTCATGGTTTTGTTTTAGGTGGAGTTGTTGTGTTTATACTTGTCTTTTTGATCTTATCTCTTTGTGTAAGATAGGTTCTTATTTGTCTAAAACTTTGTGCATTAATTATAAGTGACAAAGGGGGAGATTGTAAGTGTTTTGTCATCTTATGATCCTGTTTGTGTCTTGCACAATCTCTAGGTTTATCTAACAGTGCAGCCACTCTTTGTAAATGTGATGACCTTCATCAGCGTAGGCACTTCAGAGTCTGTATAGTCACAATGCATCTGGCAAATATTTTTCTCTCATATGTGCAACACGTATTAGAGTAGGTGCCCTAGAGCCAATCAATTATTGTAGAATTGACTCTTGGTAACAATGTTTACTTATCAAAAA